CATTGAAGAAGTCAGAAAAATACAAAGCATTATTTGACTTCACACTAAATTTACACAAAATGTTTCTGTCATTCAAGTTCTGAAAATACTGGGAATGGTTTAAATACCTGGATTATATGCAATACCTGATGTAGTACCTGGTACAAAAAATAAATATAAAATTAAAAGTATTAAATGGGCCTATACATACATACATGCATACTTCCTCCATCCTTTCCTTTCTAGTTTGCAACAAAAGTTACTGTTATACCTGAACCAGGAAACAATGATAATAGTAATGTGTTGCTTGTCACACAATCTAAGGAAGGATGACATTGCACTGTAAATAAAAATGAAGGAGAAAAAACACATGTGTTCAAAGCTCTAAAATTAATATAATTAATTCCTATTTCCTGCATATAGTTAACTGTGGATATTCAAAGATAATAACTATAATCAGTATGCTTTCAAGACCATAACACTTTCTGCTGGGGTTACAATATTTTTTTCCATTATTATTTTGGTATACAGAATGGCACGGCACATAACCTTAAACTGTTCTTTAGAATCAGAAATTATTGCACTGCACTAAATTTTTTTTGATCTTTTTCAAATGCCTAAACTGAACGATCAGCATATACAGTAATATTTTCAAACAGCAAAAAGCATCCAATGTATGTTGTCACCATGTACAATGGAGACATAGATTGAAACTCGGTGATTTTGATTCCTATGAAAGTTAATGAATTCACACAGAGCATAGTCTGCTCACTCCAATTTAATCTTTCAAAATGTACTGTGCATGAAAATGTGTATACATTCATATTGTTAGTGCTTTCTGTTAAGATTATGTAACGAAGTGCAGCTCTTGATTATGTTGGTGGAAAGTTTCTTCTAAAATTCCACTTTACAATGAAACAAATTTCCCCACCAACAGAGCTGACTGGGAAATTTATATTACTTTGTTTAATTTTAACTGTGGTTGATAAAATGCTGTGTAGAAAACACGTGTTTCTGCCTATTCACACATCCATACCTTCTGCCTAAAACAGAGAAGTACAGGTACTTCAGTATGCTTTTAGACAATACCATTTTATCTTAGAATATTCCATTTAGTCCTATGCTTTATTTTTATGGCTTCTTATTTATTTTCTGCCCATGCTACCTGTCTTATTGCAAAATTAAAATTATCTCTTAAGTATCCTTAGTGACAAGCAGTAAAAGAAAGAGACTATTATATGTTGGGTTTCTAATAGGAATTTATCATGCAACTGCAATTAAAGTAAAGTATCTCATATGTACTATAAGGTTGCCTTATGTTTTAGATGTAATTATTATGGTTATTCCTTCTAACTATGCTTAGTGACAGGTATGTTTATAAATACCTTTATTACACAGATAGTTCTTGATTTACAACAGTTCGTTTAGTGATCAGGGTTGCAACGTCACTGAAAAAAGGAACTTATGACTATTTTTCACACTTATGACCATTGCAGCATCCCCACAATCATGTGATCAAAATTCAGATGCTTGGCAACTGACTCATATTCATGATGGTTGCAATGTCCCAGGGCTATGTGATCATCTTGTGTGACCTTCTGACAAGTAAATTCAATGGGGAAGCCAGATTCACTTAACAACCATGTTACCACCAACAACTATAGTAATTCACTTAACAACTTTGGCAAGAAAGGTGGTAAAAATGGAGCAAAACTCACTTAACAAATGTCTCATTTAGCAACAGAAATGTAGGGCTCAATTATTGTGATGACCTGGGGCATGGCACAAAGGCAATACAATCAAATAATAAGCAGGAGTCTCTTTATTTGTTCCAACTTTGCCCCCAGTGTCCTGGTGTGATGACCCAGAGTGGGATACAAAACAAACACAGTCACAGAAAACAGGTGAAGCCCCTTTTATTCCTTCACTTTGCTTTCAAGCTCTGAATATTCTTGACGGAAGACAAAAAAAACTCCCACACAAACAGTTACAAGAAGGAAAAAAGCAACACAAATCAGGCAAGATAAGGGCTGGAGGATGTCCACAGATAACACACACTGGGAAGGATGCCAAACTCAGGGAGGAATATCAACTAGAGATATTTCCACGCTTTGTTTCTAGCATTCACCCGTACGTAGATCCGTACTCTTATTGAGTTGTCACAATTGCAGTCCATGAAGAAGATCAAGGCCCTCTCCTCATGAGTAGACCATGTCTCTCCCTCCCTGCATGCCCTAGGATGGATAGGGGATGGGCCTGACTGCTCAGCCGGCCTCTGCCCTTCCCCAGTCTCCTCCACAATCTTCGGAGCCACTTCCACTCCCTGTCGGCTGTTCCTCCTCTTCCTCAGAGTCAGTCTTCACCAGGGGCACGACACCTGGTTACCTTCTGGGCTGGAGAAAAACTCTCCCAGGAACAGCCTTTGGCTGCAGAGATTCAAGTCCAAAACGTGGTCAACAAAAACTGTAACTATGAGTCCAATCAAGGCAAGCTGGAGTAATTAGTCCGGCAGGGCAAGAGAAGGAATTCCAGACATGAAGGAATGTCAGTAAATCAACCCAGTTGGGAGGATGCCAGGAACACAGATAACCAAAGTCAACATGATAAACTCACATTTGTTCCCAGCAACCATAGCTCTCAGCTTCCTCTTCCTTAAACTCTCTTCCAAGGTGTGCCTAATGAAGGGAATCTGTTAGCCATGCAACCCACGTTGCTCTCTTCTCCATTGCTTCCTGCATACCCTAGGATGAAGAGGGGATGGGCCTGGGTCTTCCTTTGAACTCCCTCTCCATTGTTTTATCTCTCCTCTGCTCTGCCCAGCCGGATTTTGCCCATCCCCAGTTTCCTCCACAGCCAACGGAGCCACACTCCGACTCCCTGTCAGCTGTTCTTCTTTCTCTTTGGATTCATACTCCAACAGGGGCATGACAATTGTGGTCGTAAGTTGAGGATTACCTGCATAAGGATAAAGACTCAGAACCACTGTTGCTGGCTGCCATTAATAGCAAATTCTATGGCAGATTTATATTTGACTCCTTATATTTTCTGGTGTAGCCTACAGTTGGACAGAAGGGCTGTTCAGAATTGTGTTTTAGTTTTATCTTTGCAGTAGCCTGGTCTGGTTACACAATGCCTAGGATATCAGATATTCTTTGCTTCCACTCTCAGTCCTTATGTATCTGTCCTTCTAATGACCCCGTTCCCCCAGCAAACTAACTCAGTTGTGCAGACTTTAGTCTCTTAACGATACTTTCAGGAAACGAAGGTGTGTTTGTGTAGCAAGACATTCATTAGTTTGTCCTCTGGAGGTTAAATGGGTTGGTATCACTGTAGCAACAAGTTGTGAGCAAGCTCTGCAAAGCTAAGAGAAGCTGTTCTGTTCTGGCTTACACAATGTTCATGCAAACGTGGGTAGGGAGGCTTCAGTGGAGGTTATTATTTTCATGCAAGCATTGAAAGAAGGTGATGGATTGTATCACAGGGAAATGTGTATAGAATCGCCTGCAGCCCTAAGCTAGGTGCAATGCTTCTTTTCCCACATTGTATTGCAATGAAGGCAGAGCTGATAGTAACAATCAATAATATTTATTTGGTCAATGACCAGCCAAAATTTATAAGAACGAAAGCAAAGGGAAGCAAGAAAATACAATAATAATCCAACAAGTACCAGAATAAATCATAGAATATAACATTTACTCCTCCGTTATTATGTTAATATCATTGTTACCCGGGTGATAAATCTAAAACATTAATAAGTACAAAACAAAATTAACAGCTGTATATCCCCCTACACTTTATTAGTTAAGATACTAAATAGATTTATAGGAAAATAACTAAATAACAACCTGCTGCAGGCAAGTTTTTTAAAAAATGTTTACCAAATTACAGTTCCACAAAGCAGTTTTCTAGCTGTAGAAGATGGCTATGAGGGTAGTGCCTTCTGTGTTTTTTTATTCTCATCCAGTTTGATAAAAATAACTTTTTCATTTGTTTATCTTTTTTTCCAAAGAGAGTAAACATAAATTAATTACTTAATAACTAAGGTGACCTAATACTCCTTTCTCTTCTTATTTTCCTAACAACAACAACAACCTTGTGAGGGGGTTGGGTTGAGAGAGTGACTGGCCCAAAGTTGACTAGTAGACTTTCACATCTAAGGCAGGACTAGAATTCACAGTCGCCTAGTTTTGAGGCTAGCACCTTCACCACTAAATCATATTGGCTCTTCTCTGAGAGGAAATTTTGGATATTGTTCTCTTCAGCATTAACAAATATAAGTAATATAATTGGTAATACAATATAATTTAATAAATATAAGTAATGTCAATTAATCAAAACTGTTTGCTTTTATAATATGTGTGTGTGTGTGTGTGTGTGTGTGTGTGGATTTATTAATCTAGAAAGGTATGACAGGAATACCAAAATAGCATTTTCTAAACAGCTTGTAAAAACATTTCAAAATATATCTATTTCTTAAAATATTTTGCTTTATTTACTCTGCTGAGGGAGTTTGCCATTTATAATTTAATCCTAGGCAGAACCATTATTCACTTGTAATTGTCTATTAAGCCAGTAAAACTCAATAGTAAATCATATCAGAATTCCTTTATGTGAAAAAAGTCCTCTACATTCTGTGTTTTAATTGAGCTGTGTAATATAAGGTCCTCTATAGTTCTTTATTCATTATATGACAATACTGTTTATTTTTAAAACACAACTCTCTATATGCTTCAGTAAGACTTAACTTCCAAGTATGTTGAATCTGATTGCCCGCTAGGCCATCTACTACAGGTGTTCCCAATCCACGGGCCCTGGACTAACACCGGGTCATGGCATGCCAAAAACCAGGCCACACAAACAAGTGAAGCCCCATCCGTGGGATGCAGTCAGCATGCGAAACCATGCCTCCTCCGGTCCTTGGAAAAAAACCTCTGTCCACAGAACTGGTGCCTGGTGCCCCAAAGGTTGGGGACCACTGATCTACTGTATTACTTAGCCCAGTTTAAAGCTGCCTGATATAGTCCATTTTTTTTCTCCTGTCTCCACAGGATTGAAAAAGCGTACAAGGAAAGCCTTTGGAATACGGAAGAAAGAAAAGGATACCGATTCCACGTAAGTATGTACTGTGAATTATCAGTCTGAAGAGTAAGATACATAAAGTTAGATTGAATCCAGTCCCATCCTTAAAACATTGCCCTCTAATGGGATCTAGATGGTAACTCCTGAGGATACAAATAGATAAATAAAAATAAATAAAACTCAAGGCAGCAAACGTATCCAACACACTTTCCTCCCCTTATTTTTCCCACAACAATTCTGTCAGGTGGGTTGGGCTGAGAGAGAGTGACTGGCCCAAAGTACTGCAGCTGAGTTTCATGGCTAAGGCAGGACTTGAACTTGTGGTCTCCTGCTTTCTAGCTTGGTGCCTTCACCACTGACCCGAGGTCCTGAATTGGGAGTATGTCCCTTGATAGCAATTTTATTATGCCAGGGATTGTTTTAATTGGTGTGGTGTCATCTGTTTATCTAATACACCACATTTCCCTTTTTGTGATTCTGAATTTATTTTTAATTGTTTGTTGTTCAAAATAATTTTTAGTTGGGTGGGTGGCCTAAAAATATGAATTGTAAACAAACACACAAATACATAACTAGAGCTGTTTCATGAATGAGACTGTTTTACACAAACAATGAAAGCACAGTTACTCATTTCTCTGGTTCCCTGATAGGATGACTATATTTTATCTAAACTACCAAATTGAAGTTTGCAAGTTTGATTGAATTCATTCAACACTGTGAAAATAGGGACTTACTGAAGGTAGAGGCCAAATTCTCAAAAAAGAAAGCTTTTCTGATGTTAGATGTCTGTGAAGAATTGTCTTGGTTTTTCAGTTATATCACAGGATTCTATTGTTGGTTTAGAAGAGTTTTAAAAATGAAACTGTTTTACTTGGTGTGGTACTTAACAGTTCTTGGATGATGTGTAAGGGAAAAATATTTTAAGTATGTTGCTGCTTTCTGTTTCTCGAAAACATTTTTCCACACCTTTTTCCCTGAGAAGTTTCATAGCAAATATAAGAAAAGCCGGTGGAAAAATGGTCAAGGAAATTCACAAGATTTTTTCCATTTTTGACATATGTGAAAATGCTTTTAATCATCTTTCACCAACATTTTGGAGTACTGTGATTACTGTTGATCGAGTGCCTCTGCTTTAATTATGTTTATTTGACATGATTTAAATCATGTTTTTGAATAATGTGTAAAATAAAGTAAGTTCTATAGATTAGAATGATGGAGTAGTTTATCAAAATCTGTTGGATGCATCACCTCCACCCACTAAATTGTTTAAATGTGCAGAATAGCGGAAATATCAATCAATGTCCCCTTTTGCATCTCTATTCTGCTTTATTTAAGCATATGCAAATGTTAAAGCTGGAATAAACCAAAGGTGGGAATAACCCTTTTGGGATTCTCCATGCTGATTACCTGCAGTATTGATTTCAATGGTTCTGGAAAGTTCTGTTATGTCCTGTCCAAAATGTGAAGCCACATTTTGCATAAGAGGTAAAACTCTACCACAGACTTGGTTTGACTAAATTCCTTAGTAACATGCTAGAGGAAGATCCTTTGCAGCTATTCATAAGATCCACTTAAAATGACATGGGTGGAGGGCATCCAGTGCATTAAAACTCCTAGATGTTTCAGCCTATTGAAAAAATGAGACAGTAGTTTAAAGATAGAAAACATGTATGTGTTTGTTTGTATGTTTGCATGTGTATGGATGTGGACTAAAAAAGGAAACCAGTGGAGGCAAATCAGCTAAGAAATCAAATGTTCAATTGGTGTCAGCACACAGGCTGTTTCTTAGCATCAGATTAGGTAAACCCATAAAACAGTTGGGGTACGCTATCTGCATCACGAATGCAGATTGTAACCTAGGGCTCTAACTGACATTATCTAAATGAATGTTTGCAGTGAATTGAGTATGCATCATCAGAATATAAACTGTCTTCTGTCCACCAACTTGTCAGCTGGACCATTTTTGGACATACACTAGGTCAACCAGTTTTCCAGAAGACTGATATGTCTATGTTCAGCAACAGCTCAAGTGTCTGCACTAATTATCTGTCACTGACACAATCCGAAAAGTGGCCAAGGTCTCCATCCTGGTAACTGCTCATACTCACTCATGCCTGCCTGTCACACTTAAAGGAGAGCATTAGTTAATGCTTTTTCCTGGTGACTGCTAACACTAAATAGATGGCAAAACAACACCAATTGAATTGACCAATCATTGCCCTTCAGCATCTTACAGTAAGCCTGTATATCCATTTACAAGCTTTAATGAGGCAGATTAGGGTTCAGATTTCAGGGCAGTGTAAATTATGCTGTGATATACCTTTTCAAGGACTGGAAGGATGTATATTGATGTAGCCATGAAGAAAAGTTTTTTAGCTGACATATTCCCAACAGTGGCCATGTTCACTGAGAATTGTTGAAATTGTAATCTAATATATCTGTGACAGCCCAAAATCTAGAAAGATACAAGGTGATTCTTCCAAGCAGATTTCTTTATTGTTCCACATCTATAGACAGAATCTTGTCAAACTGAAGCACCCTATTATCTACATCAAGGATATAATCTCAGAATTATTAAGGAACAACTGTCTTCACCATCTTTCTCTCACACAAACTATCTGAACTGAGCTGTGGAATACACTCCATCCTTCCTGGAAATCCTGCTCACAACATAACATCACACCCTGCCATTGGATTAGATTGAACTATATTAAAAAGAAATATGGACTATACATGAAAGGAACAGATCTGAATAGAAGATGTAAACATGAGACAACTTATGTTGTCAATTATCCAGATGTTTGCCTGACAGTCATTCTCATAACTTTATAACAGTGCTGAAATTCAGTCACAGCAATCCAGTAATAGAAATGTTAAAAGGAGGAACTTATAATGAATGACATCTAGCCTTGTAGGTACATCAAGCTAAATGCTAGCATTATTCTGAATAATTTAAAAGGACCTTTTTAAAGCACTCTGGAATCACCAAATGAAGTGGAAATAGAAGTGTCTAATTTTTAATGAGCTAGTCAAAATATAGGTTGGAAACAGATGAATTAACAAAGACATCAACAAGCACGTAAGAAAGTGTGAAAGACATTATCCAAGCATTCTAGGAAATGGAAATTTGTAGAAGTTTTGCGTTGGTAGCTCTATTTTATTGTTACAGCAATTAAGGTGGTTATTAATGTATGGGCCTTTTCACTTGCATTTTGTGTGAATGTTACTGAGTCCTGTGAAACACCATATTTTGTATAAATAAGTAAACTACTTTCATGATACCCAACCTCTAGTAACTATCCATCTCTGGGGTCATACAGTTGCATAGTCCTCCATACGTATGTTAATGTGCGGAGGGAAGCATATGTGTGGATCAGGGGTAAAATTTATTTTTTTTTCCTACCGGCTCTGTGGGTTTGGCTGTGGGCGTGGCTTGATATAATAGTAATAGCAACCAGGGGTGATTGGGGCAATTTTTTACCGATTCAAATCATCCCTACCACCTCTCCCGAGGTGGGCCCAGGTGGTTGAATTTCACCCCTGGTGCTGACATTTTCCACATGTGCAGAGTTCAACTCAGAATCTTCAGTTGTAGTCATGCTGACAGGGGAATCCAGAAGCTGAACTCCATTGGGAAAAGGGGGTGGAAGAATTGATGTTGGTATAATTTTTGCCAATTAAGGATGGGAGGAATGCAAGTTAAGAAGGCAGTGAGAAAAAATCCAATTTATGATATGTGATTTATGTACAGGGGCAGCAGTACAGCTTCATAATTTGATTTTCGGGGTATGTTTGCTGCTTTATTCTTTATTATAGTAGTGTTTCATTAGAAATATTTGAAGCAAAAATATGGTTTTAAGAAGTATAATCTTTTTCGGTGCAGCTATTTTATTGAGCAGTTATGATAATTAAATTAATGTAGGTTTTTTATTCCTTATAGTAATAGAACCTATTTTAATTTTATTACAGAGGATCACCAGACCGAGATGGAACTGTAAGTTTTAAAGATATTTCTTTCTGAAATTAGTGTTTATTTTCAACTAGATGTATTCAATAGAAAATATGCCTTAAGCATTCTTAAATTTTCTTCCCTATTTCTATTTTAATACTTTGAATATATTAACTATATTCTATAGTTAATATAGAATACTCTATATTTTAAATTTAGAAAACTAAATTTAAATATATTCTGATTTTACCTGAATCCAGTCTAAGTCCTTTACCTCCTCTTCAAATTTCAAAAAGTTTAAAATATTATATCAAGATTTAAAATTGGAAAATCGGTTTCTGCAATTGAGGAAATGAACTGAAGGTAATCACAACCAGAAGAAAATAGAAATAAGAAAGAAGGGCTGCTCTTAAATTATTGTTGCTTTCATTTATGGTCTTAGTATTTTCATACATGCTAGAACTAATTTTCAAAAGAAACTTGCCTCGGCTATTAGACTTTATGTTTGCAATAAAGAATGTTGGGCTCAGATACAAATTTACCTTTGTTTTGTATTGATTCCTGATTTCAGAAGGCTTCCTCTTATTTATCTGGTGAGAAAAAAATGGGGGTAATTGTTGAGTGTGCTCAATAGATATTCACAAACAGACCGAAGACCCAGAAATTTCCTATTATTTGCTTTCATATTTTTGTATTTTATTCTGTAATCTAATAAAAATGTTATTTAAAAAAAGAATGAAGACCTAGAAATTATGAACCCTAAGGGCCTTTCCAGATGATACTTTTCTGAACAGTGAAGAACTTCTAGTACATGGGTTATGAGCTGGATTCATGGTCAAATTGATGTCCAGAAATTTAACATTTTCCAAGCATATTTATGTCACTGGTGAATGTGGGTTTGTCTAGCTGGCATGCCCTTCTTGTTTTTGAGGGAAAGCTGTACTGTTGAATTGAGGACTGAATCATATAGAATCTGCCTCATCCTTAATGACCAGCATATTCAACCTATTCTTTTATGATTCCTGATTGAAAGTTTATCCCATTCCTTCTTTTAAAAAGTTTGTGTAATCCCTTACACAATACAAAAACACAGAAATGTTTATCTTTTTTAAGAAGTGATAAACAAAGAATCATTTTATTTCCTTTTAAAAAGTAATCACTTATTATTCTTTTAACTGAATTCTTAATTCAGAAGGTTTTATTAATGTAGAAGTATATGCCTTCTAGATACTTTTTAAAAAGTGTCTTCTGTGAAGTAAGGTATCTTCTGCTTCCTCTTACTACTGCTGTTAGTTGAGAGTGAGCTTTATCTTCTGGAAAGGTCCTAATACAATTTTGCTGGCCTAACTTTTTGAACATCTGACCCAAGATCCTTAATTCTCCCACCTTAACATTATTCCTTTTCAGCCCAATAGCAGTGATTTCAGAAGAACTGAATTGGGTAGAAATGCTTGTAGTTGCAATCGTAGGTTGAAAAAAGCTGGCATCTACACGTCATCCTGCATCCCCTTATGTCCGCTCATTGCTTTTATTATCTTTTTCCCTTTTTCTTTTTAAACAAAAGTAGACCATACCTGGAACACTTATGTATAACAGTTTGGTCAAAGCTCTGTTCAGCAGCAGAAGAAGAAAAAAGACATAGACTTTCCTAGCTTGCAAGCTGATTCATTCCTCAGGTCCCATTCATAGTGCAATCTACTCTGTACTGCAGAGATGGTATTCAGCAGGTTCTGACCAGTTCTGGAGAACCGGTAGCAGAAATTTTGAGTAGTTCAGAAAACCAGCAAATACCATCTCTGACTGGAGATTTTGCAGTATCCTTCCGCTGCCACGCCCACCAAGCCACACCCACCGAACTGGTAGTAAAAAAAATTGAATCTCACCACTGCTGTACTGATAATTTAAATTAGTGATTCTTGAACTGCTTGATGAATTGCACCTTTTCCCAGTCTCAACTAATTTCATTCATTCAATCATTCAATCAATTTTATGGCTATCAATCTCAGTCAATGAATCTGGGCAGTTTATAAACAATAAAAACAATAAAGCAATAAAAACAGTCAAACCAATAAAAACACTAAACATGTTCAAATGAAATATACACAGTGCAGAATGTGTTGTGCAGCATGATCATTCAACTCGACCTGATTGGACAGGTAGAAACTCTTGAAAAAAGATGATCCCACAGATACCCTAGTCCTAAACCATGTAAGACTTTCAAGATAATCCAACAATACCTTGAATTCCACCAGTAAACACACCAGGTTACTACCGGTGCAGCTCACACGGAAATAGTGTTACGTGTGCCAAATATCTGGCAACATTTATTATTCGCGCCATTGCATTCTGTACCAGTTGGAGTCATTACTCTCACAGAAAAAAAAGGCTCTATTGTTTTACACAAGCATCTCAGTAATAATTGTCTCAATCCAGATCCTCAACTCACAAACAAGCCATTATGAATTGTTCCATTGTCCCCAGGCTATGCCAAATTGTTGATTTGGATAATTATCCCCAGTTTAACCACCAACTGATCTAAGCACAAGAAAGAGTTGGTAGCTTTTCTGGAGCTGCTATATTAGATATGGAGGAAACAAAATACAGTCCTTTCTTCTTTAAACACATCCCAGCTTGCCTACATAATTCTGAAAGTGGAGCCCATAGGTTTTGCATATAGCACGTACACCATGACTTTGTCACACAGATGAAACAATTGTGTTCTTGGATCTCAGTGTTTGAAGCAAATACAGAAGACAGATCATTTGCATGATGATGTCATGACAGATGTGTTGTCCTTTGCCCTCCTTAGCCTCTTACAAATATCCTAGAATCCATGTTTTGTCCTTGCCATATTTTACTAGCAACTTGGGGAGACAAGCAGTTTATATTGAAGAAATAAATGGGGAAAAAGTAAGTCTTCCGTGCCATTACTCGCTGTCTTGATCTATTTTTCCTTCCCACTTTCTGCAATCTTGGTTAGTGGATTATTTTTAACAGCCAAGCATATTTTTTCCACATGACTTAGAATTTGGCTCAGACAGTTTAAATCAGATCATATCTTTATTAAAGTCGAAGACCAGCATTGACTCACACAGATATGGTTTCCATTAAATCATCCATACTGATAATGCGCTCGTGTAGTTTTCTATTCCCCCCATTTTTCAATTTTCAAGCAAAAGCATATTTCTGCAAACCTTAAAATGACAAAGGAAGCTATCAAGTAGGCAACTTTCTAATAAATTTGCCTTCTGTCTTCGGTCTTTGGCTTCACCATTACTACTGTTAGTCTGGTATATTCACTGTCTGTGACATCTCACTCTTTTTCTGGGTTTCAGTGAAGTCTGAAACTGAAGATTATTTTTATCTATTTTGCATTTATCTATTGTGCATTATTTCAAGTGACGTTATTTGCTTTTCTATGTGACTGTGGAGATTCTCAGTCATCCAGGTCATGGTAGTCCCATTTTCAAGAAGCAACTGGACTTTTTGGTTTTTCTTTGAATTGCTTGTCATCCAATAAGCTTCTACAGCTCTGAGGAAGCTTCTTGGATGAAAAGTGAAATGTCTTCAAAGAAAAATCAGAAAGTCCAGTTGTCTCTTGAAAAAGCACCTTTGGGATTGCTATTCTATAGTTATGTAATATGTGTTAAATTTCACTTTAAATGATATAAGAAATTTTCTTGCTTTGTGGGTCATGTTTACTCAGACTAGAATGATTGTAGCTACGTTCCAGTCAGTAGATTTTCCATCCCCTGAATTTTGTTGCTAGTTTAAAAGTTTGATATTGTAGTTAATCCTAAATCCAGGAGGTGTTTATTTTATAAACTCAATGATCAATTTCAAGTTTCTGGATGTGGCATCTCCATTATTACAAAACAAACTTCCAATTTTTATAGTTTCTATCCCATTTTGGAGTAACAACCCAAAACAATTCATGGCTAACAGTTTCTAGTCCTAAGAAAATACCTTCTTTGCCTGCAACTTATTTATTTAGCGTATGGCCAATACATGGACTTATAGAGGTTCAAATGTCAATGTCCAGTCCACCCAGCCATTCAAGGATAGGGTAGTCTATGTTGAAAAAAATCAGACATTGGGCCAGTGTAAGCTCTTGATGGACATTCGGACACAATGTGATAGATATTTTGTCAAGGAGCACCACAACCCTGCAACTATTCAAAACTTACAGAACATCAAAATACTATTGACCTCTTTTCTTACCAACAGGATGAATTTAGGATCATATCCCTTTTATATAGTTCAATGATTGCTTAATTAAATTATCCCTAAGATTGATCTGTGGCAAAAATATACTGCATTGAAATACAAAATTGAAAAGGCTATTGACTGATGGGAAAAAAAGAAAGAGGAGGAAGGTGTGGTTTTGAAATACATAGCAATCTAATGTTTGGTTAATAGACCATGAGATGGTATTTAAAATCATGATAGCTTTCAGCTGAATTCCCTTATAATGTCTAACTTCTGCTGAATAGAGCGGTACACTTTGTTCCAAAATAGTCTGCTGATAGCAACATTAATTTGGCAACTTTCCTTCAGAAAGTTCATTTTCAGCTTGTTTACTCCATGTAGTTTCATGTATTTTTTTGAAGTCAAACCACCAAACACTTTAACCCTTTTTCTATAAAAAAACAAAATCCATTCCAGCCACCCAGTCCTCATCCTCATGATCCATTCTACAATAGCAAACCAGAATGTGCCCAGGAAGGCGGAAAAGCAGTTTTGGTAAGAATGTGAATATTGGCTTAAACTAAAGCTTCAAGTGGGCGGTTACAATAATGTTGAAACTACAACAGGTTGTTTTTTCTTTAAAATACACCAATGCATGCTTGATATTCTTCATGTGTTACTTATTTCAATGTACTTTCACCACTGATGCTCCAATTAAGATGACTAACTTTTCACTTTTACACAAACTATGATCTAGGTGGTTTCACTCTTTGTAATTGGCAGGTGGGTTTTTGTCAATGAACAGATTTTCTAAGTGCTGTTCAAGGTTTTCTGGTATGGCACCCAGTGTGCCAATAGCCACTGCAACAACCATGGATGGCTCTTACGTGTTTCTAATATATGTTCATATTTATTTATTAGATTTTTATCCTGCCTTTATTATTCTGATAAATAACTCAAGGTGGTGAATACAACTAATACTCCTTCCTTTTCCTATTTCCCCCACAACAACAACCTTTGAAGCAGGTTGGTCTGGTAGAGAGCGACTGGCCCAAAGTCACCTGTACAGCTTTCATGTTTAAGGTGGATCTAGAACTCACAGTCTCCTGCTTTCTAAGCTAGCACCTTAAAGCGTACGCGCACACTTATTTATTTCATGGTTATATTAATTAGTGTTTTGTAATAGAAAGCTTTTGAAGGGGGGAATTAAGTAATATTAATTCAAGTAAATTAGATGGAAAACAGAATGTTTGTTTTATGAAGCTTGGTTTAAAATGGTATTTATAAAAGAAAACCTTGGCCATATTATGTTAATCATACATTGTTTTGAAATGAAGCTATGCGTCTTGATTCTATATATTATATGCAAAAAAAAAAAACCCGTTAAATATTCTAGGTTAGTTATTATTGTTATATATACAACAGCGGGAATCATGTCATAATGTACCAGCATAGTAAATTTGTGGATTCAAGCAGTATGTCCTTTTGCAATTGACAGATGGAAATTTTTATCAATGCACAGATTTTCTAACTGTTGTCCAAGATTTTCTGGTATGGCACCCAGCATGCCAATAATTATTGGGGACACTGGTTATGCTATAATCTTTTGATTTTAATTTTCAGATCTTTATATTGTGTGATCTTCAATTCTTTCTCTTCTATTCCAACTATCTCCTAGTATTGCCACATCAATTATCCACGCTGTCTTCTTTTCAATCACAATTAAGTCTGGTGTATTATGACCCAAGAATTTATCAGTTTATATTTGGATATCCCACAGTATGGGGCACAGTGATGGCACAGTGGTTAGAATGCAGGCTACTTCTGCTACCTGCTGCCTGCCTGAAATTTGGCAGTTCGAATCTGACCAGGCTCAAGGTTGACTCAGCCTTCCATCCTTCCAAGGTTTGGATTGTTGGGGGCAATAGGCACTCAGTAAACCATTGTAAAAGCACTTTGAAGAGGTATATATGTCTTATTGCTATTGCTATACTGTACTTGAAAATGAAAAATATTATAAAATTTGTTACAATTCCTACACTGGTTCTCAGCTTTGGAATAGTCAAGAATTCAAGAATGGAAAGTTGCTTTCCAGATGCAGAGTAAGGAACCTGAAATGTGTCTTTAGTTATTCATAATGGAATGATTGATGTTGGAGCATTTCTCCATTGAAAACATTGACTTTTTCATGTCTCCTAAGAAATTATAGCACTTTAATTTATTCCCCCTCTTATAAAACAAAAACAAAAACATTGTTTAAACTATGTATTACAGAAGAGAACAAATGGTGCTCCGAATGGATTTTATTCAGAGATTGACTGGGAAAGATATGTAAGTAATAGAAATAAAAAAATATCTCAAAGTTGACAGCAGTCTTTTGAAACATTCTTTGTTCCAGTGAGACTTGGTTACTTATTGTGTCATAGCTGATCCTATCATGTCAGCACAAAATCAGTAACAACACCTGTATGTAAAGTATTCTGCTGATACATCCACTTACCAGATACATCCCTGCAGTTGGCCTGGGGACTGATGTTTTCCCTATGAAACTAATAGGTTATGTATAGAAGAGATCAGCCATGTTTATCTTTGTCCTTGATAATAATCTCCACCTACTGAATACATTTCTGCTGATTATTTGGAACGCTGAAAGTTAAGAAATAGCAATGGACTCTATTATCTTCCCCAAATTTGTGGTCAGTGAGACTTCAACTACATTTTTGAACCTTCCAACAAAAACTAAGGCTAGAAGGAGTTGAAATATGTGAGATGGGTGGCTATACACATTTACCAGATAGATAGATAGATAGATAGATAGATAGATAGATCTTCACTTGAGCAGAAATTTAGAATTTTTCCACATAACCAACTTTCTGTCTCCCATCGCTACCTCAATTCAGTTTCAAGGTATCTAAGTTTGATTTGATTTAAGATCTATTTGGACATCAGACTAATACAAGTGCAGTCATGTTTATATCTTTGTGAGGCAACACTTCACTGTTGCTTCATTTCCATCTGGTCAAGAGCTGAGCAAAGAAAACTGCAAACTGATCACAGCTTACTCGTTATCCTTCCAAGCTGGAAATAACCAAGTACCTTGTCCATTCCCTCAGTTTATCAGATGCAGGCCTATAAAAGAATATCGCTTCCTCTTGGAACAAACAGAAGAGGAAACAAATTGTTATTCTTTTCCCCATCCCATGTTTTATATGTATACAAACACTTGGCCCATTTATTTGGAAACAAAAAAAAATATTGCAAATCATTTGTAGGGAAGCTCAGTTTTAGACATATTGCTAATATGAAAACCAGTTTCAGAGGAGAAATTAACATTTTGATAATGTTCTAACTTAACTTAAAAAGAAGTTGAACACGCTTATAGTTTTTACTTTAGTTTTTACAGAGTTGAATTAGTCAAGATACAGTATGTTGCTTTGTTTAATCTCTCATCATATATGTCTTCAAAACCTATGTGTGTTCTTTATTTTGTTTGGTAGAGAAATATCAGTGCATCATAAACACTCTAGATATAGTAATACTATTTTGCAAGATATCCCCTAGGAGGTTAAATGTTTGGATTAAAATATTTTTATGTCTACTCACTGTCTAATAAGTTGAGTGACACATATGCAGGTACGTATGTATTTAACATTCAGGTGGTCCTCAACTTACAATCACAATTGGGATCAGAACTTCTCAGTTGTTAACTGTCCTGATTTTCGTATCTTTCTTGCTATAGTTGTTAAGCAAATGCAGTCATTAGACAAATTTTCCTATTGCCTGCTTTTTTGTGGGAAAGTCACAAATGGCAATCACATAACCTCTGGACTCTACAACATTGTAAATATATGCCAAGTGCCAAGCATCCAAATTTTTATGATATGGCCACAGGGATGCTGTGATGGTTGCAAGTGTGAGGACAGGTCATAAGTCATTTTTTTCAGTGCTATTGCACCTTTGAACGGTCGTAAAATGAATGATTATAAGTTGAGAACTACCTGTATATGACCATCTACTTGCAGAGTGATTCAAGGTAGTTAAAAGAGTTTCAAAAAAAATTATAGTACAAAAAACAATGGTAAAGAAACAAAATACACACCCTATCAGGGATAAAGCCCAACAAAAATATATTTATATTACTAGCAGGCTCATACATCAGGTTTTGTAGAATAGGCAGAAATTAGAGAGATTGTCCTTCGAAATCACCAATTTCTATGCTTTATAGATAACCACTGCATCTTGAATTGTATCTGAAAACCCACTGGTACCCATTGCAACTAATACAATAGTGGTATTACATAGACTAATTGAGAGGGACCCATCCCTGCTTGCTCCCACTTTTCGGGTCAGCTATAGCTTTAAGGATAGTCCCATTTATGGAATTAATTGCAACAGTCTGATAAGGTGTGAATGATTGTGCCTAGACTTTATATGTCTGGTTACTTTTTAATGATATATGGCAGGTTTCTGTTAATGTTTATTTGTGTTGTAGCCATTTTTTTTTAATTAGGAGGCCTTATAAATTCTCAAAGCGAATAAGTAAAAGCCTTATTAATGAGATTTTGAGGAAAAGGGGGGGGGGAGAAAATAATGTTTATATGTTGATTCCCTCACTGTATCTGCCATACCAGAATTCACCTGAACTTGATGAAGAAGGATACAGCATCAGACCAGAAGAACCAGGCTATATCCTTTATTTTTAATTTGCAACTTCCTTCCTCAGGCAGATGATCTTGCTACACCTGCCAGAATTCCCAACTCCTTCTCAAAACTCAGTCATGTAATCTTCCTAATGTCTAAATTCTCTAAAATTGGGGTGGGGGAATCCCTACAGGGATAAAAAGAATAGGATTCCAGCATCATCAGCTTTTTTAGTCCTAGGTTCCCAGTAAATACCGGTATATAAGTGTGCCACCGGGAAGAGATTGCCTGATTCCAGATGCCATCTGCTCCCATGATGGAGAACTCTCTACAATGGATCATATTCAAGGCTCATTCGAGATCCTTTCCACTGTCTGATTTCCCCTTCTAAGTTTAGAGCTTTACTTCCAAGTTATGTATTCTAATGTAATGTACTGCACTGTATTAAAATTGTATTGTACACCACTGGAATCGTACTGTTCATTTAAAACTGGTGCCTTGATAGGACTATTCTGAAACTGATCGTTGTATTGTAGTCTACAGATCCGTTGCATTTCTCTTTAACTGTGATCTACCTACCAAAGGAAAGCACTTTTATTCTTCAAGTGAATCTGAAGAGGAAGAGGAGGCACATAAGAAATTCAATATTAAGATTAAACCTTTGCAATCTAAAGACACTCTTAAGAGCGCGGCAACTGTTGATGAACTGAAAGCTTCTATAGGCAATATTGCACTTTCACCTTCACCAGTGGTAAGCAAATATGTTTAATTTGTTACTTATTAAGATTTCCCAAATTGTATTTTGCATATTTTCCAAGTGTGCCATAAAATCAGTTTACGTTATTCATCTCCTCCAAATTTGGTTTTATCAAGTGCTTCACAGCATAAGGGCTTCCTACAATCATTTTAGACTCAAGATATGGTGAAAAACATCATGACTTATCATAGTATTAATATCATGAGTCCTAGTAGACAATCAGTTAAATATGAGCCAGCAGTGTGCTGCAGCTGCCAAAAAAGCCAACACAGCTCTAAGCTGCATAAACAGAGGGATAGAATCAAGATCATATTAATACCACATTATAATGCTTTGGTAAGGCCACTGCATCAAGTTTTGGTTGCCACAAAGTAAAAAAGATGTGCAGGCTCTAGAAAGAGTGCAGAGAAGAGCAACAAACTGGAAGCTAAAACATATAAAGAACAGTTGCTGGAATTGGGTATGTCTAGTTTAATGAAAAGGAAGACTAGGGGTGAAATGATAGCTGTGTTCCAATATCTCAGGGACTGCCACAAGAAAAGGGAGTCAAGCTATTTTCCAAAGCACCTGAGGGTAGGACAAGAAGCAATGAGTGAAACTAATTAGGGAGAGAAGCAACCTCGAACTAAGCCGAAATTTCCTGACAGTTAGAACAATTAATCAGTGGAACAACTTACCTCCTGAAGTTGTAAATGCTCCAACAATGGAAGTTTTAAAGAAGAGATTGGATAACCATTTGTCTGAAATGGTATAGGGATTAATGCCTAAGCAGGGGGTTGGACTAGAAGACCTCCAAGGTCCCTTCCAACTCTGTTATTCTATTCTATTCCATAGCTACTTTGCGCTTTTGACAGATCTTTTAAAGAGAGAACATTAAAGAAGTTACAGCAATTTTCTCTGCATGCTGCGATTAAGGTTTTAGAAATGAATACATGGCATGGATATGATCTATATTTTAAAAAGCATTTGAAAGAAATAAGAGGCTACTTATTCAAAATAGTCATGAAATGGCCACAATTCAGATATTTTTTAAAAAATTAAACTGAGCTGAGTTGTTTGCTCTCTCATTTTATATCAGTTATTGGAAATTGGGTTCCAGTATGAAAAGATGAAGAATGTCATTAGAAATGTGCAGAAGTCAGAGATAAGAGATTTAAGTCTTTTTGAGATGCAGAAGAGATGGGTACCATTACTGTGAGGTGAATAATATACCCTTTTCTCTCAATAGTGCAAAGCTTTTATTTCTAGAAGTTTAAAATGACAAGAATTCTCAAGAGCTGATATTTTCAGTCAGAATAATTCTGGCCAATTTATTGGCAACGTCTAGAGTGACATGATGATCTCTATTATAGCACTATCTCAGTATGTACTTCCTTTCACCTATCTATTCAGAGATGGCTGCATTCTGTGGTTTTTGTTATGGCTTTTTGCATCTCTATTCTTTAAAATTAAGCCTTCAGTTTTCCTTTCTTGGCTTGAGACTAATACCGTTAGTGTTCCCAGGCTAGCTTAGTCTCTACCCCAGTATGGTTAAGAATATAAGTTTCTGTATAACTATTTGGCTATTTTGGCTGACTAACATACTCTATGCTTATGCCCTGTTACCTATTGGTGTCATATGGGTGATCAGTTTTTTTCTTTTAGATTCCAAAGAAATTCATTTCAAACAGAATGACCTTCTTAGCATTTCTTTCTTTCTACCCCATCCCATCCCTGTAGAAGACAATATAAACATGAATGATTTGGTATTATTACTTTTAAGCATGACAAATGGGAATTGTCCCTTTTGCATACCTACTGCTTATCCTAAATTGTTCTCTGTCCCTATCAAATTGAATAGCCAACTCCAAAGATTTTCTTATTTTCTTATCAAAACATATTTCTTTTTTTAAAAACCCACTACCTAATCCTGTATGCAGAATAAGTAGCATTTCAGGAAAAACAACTTTACAGATTGTAACTTTCAACTTCCAATTACCTATATATATATTTTTGGCTTCTAGAATTTTATAAGAACATTGGAGGTCAGTGTTTTTCATAGAGTTCTGCATTTTGATCACTGCTTCTGAACACTGTCAATTTATCTAGATCACCTTTCTCCAACCTTTCCAGCTTCATGGACTGGTAGTGACCTGGGGTGGGAGAGAGGAGATGGTTTCATGCATAAATGTAGCTGTTTGTGTGTGCACTCACTTACCATTTCTGCGGCCTGGCACAGAACCACGGCCTGGGAGTTGGGAATTCCTGATCTAGATGACATATGCTAGCCTTCTAACCCTTACATCAGTTAGCCAAGTAATTGGCTGATCCACCAAGATTTCTATATACCTATATTTCTTATCAAAACCCCATTTTCAGAAGTGGATACCTGCTCATCATCCTTTCTAAGAAATCTTTCCATTTCCTTAAAGCAATAGCCTCTTTCTCCAATGCAGCACATGGCTAACTTTCTGGAAAAAAGTATGGTTCATTGGTAAACAGGAGATATAAGTCCCGTGGCCTTATGTCAGAATACCTTCCTACAGAGAGTTTGTACTTTATAGATATCTGAAGATGAATTATATTAGTCAGTTCAAGGTTTCCCTGTCCAAACAGAGCTACTCAAACAATATATTGACACAGGATTTTTATTGAGATTTGTTTCTGCTTCATCCGATGATTAATTCACTAAACATTAAATAGTACTTACTTTCATCCCACACAGGTGGTTAACTTCTAATTGCCTCAACTATGACTCAATGGGGTGATTTGTTTATCAGATAGATAGTTATATATCTACTTTGGACATGAACCATTTTAATAGCATTCCTTCATAAAATTATGCAATTGAATTGTAACTCTGTAAGTTTATCACTCTCATAATAATGACCATACTTTTGTGGAAAAGACAGCAGTACAAAAAGAAGGTAATTACAAAATTCTCCCAATTGGTCCCTTGATACTATTAGTTACTGGATATATAAGAAAAGATTAGTAGTAAATAATGAAGTTGTACTTGCCCTAATTGCATAAAGTTTCTGAATTTCCAGTTAAAGAAAATATATGACTTTGTTTCTGCTATCATTTGGCTTTAACAACATAGAACCCAGCAACATACTGGATTCACAATTGGAAACAAATTTAGCTAATCTAATGTCATGCAAATTGTTTGAAACCTAACACTGGATATCATCTATGCCTTGATCATTTACTGCTGCACGAAGTTCCAACTTTTATGCAGTGTGTGTGTGTGTGTGTGCAATTTGGTGGTCTTTATTTCAGTAAATGAACCTTGCAATCATTATGAATTCAGAAGGCTGATGCAGCTGGGTTTGAAGGGAACAGTGTGTTATATTGTAGTATATGGAAATCAAGTTCAAGAGGTGATTTGTAACACTCATTTCCTGGACTGTGGAAGACATGAAAGCTGTTAATCAGAATGATGACTTTGTTGCATTGGAGAGAATGCAGCTTCCTAATCAATTGATGCCATACAGTTTAAGGAAGCTTCTAGAGCTGTAATGCTTTTCCTGAATGCAGGATGCTGAAAAGAATAACTTAAATGGGTTTATACTATGAAAAGGGAAACTTAGAATGTACAGTGTCATTTCTTTAAATTGAGTAGGGCTATACTTTATATTAGTGAGATGTATTGTGTGTACAATAGTTTGCATAATAACGTAAAATCTCTGGAGCATTTAAACCAAATATTGCACTCTTGGCTAATAAAAGTAATACCCCTTAATTAGCAGCATTTGAGTTCAATTTTATGTGCAAAACTATTATATATTTATTTTGGAATTTGCTTTTGGCAAAAAGAGGGTTTTTCTAAAGTTTCTATGAGCTGTTGTCGATTTTGCTACCTTGATCAGAAAGTTAGGTGTGCTGAATTGAAATCCTTATTTGTTTTAGTATTTCTAGTCAGAATACGACCAGTTTTTTCAAGAACTTGTTTTGTTTCTTAAAACAGTTTTCTCTTCACAGCTGTAATAGTATAGATGTTGATTCTAATTGCTGCAGCAAAATTCAGGAGAAATACCCTTTGATACGCTTTTTAAAATATTTCAAAAGAAGTTTGTTCAGATAGTATTACAAAAGTGAATAGTAATTGGATTATTATTATGGTGGCCTAGAAGTTCTCTAATAGCCAGATTTAGTTTACTTAGGAAGAGAGAATTACATAGTATGTATAGGAAAGTGTGCTTACATGGTTCATAGGTATATCTAATGGGTTTAGACCCAGATGTAGATTAAATAGAATTTAATATATTTTGGGGAAAAACATTTTTGGATAATTTCTCCTTTCCCTGCAGCTTAAACTGTTCTAAGAGTTGAAAAGCTACCTAAAACAGCATAAGAACAACACAGCGGGGAAATATGAAATGTCCCAAAATTGTTATCTCATCTTTTTTTTTCTAACAGGACACTTTTTAAGATGCTGGTTTAATTTAGAAATAAAGTCACGTCATTCACAAAGGTCCAGAGATAACCAATTTAAATTTAAAAGTGCTATATTTTTGGAGCAAAATGAAATGCTATAATCCAAAGTGTTGTTTTGCCCCATTGAGTTGATTATACAACTAGCATTTTCTTCTTTTGCTCCTGAATATATGACTATTAGTATGCTAATTTAAGGTTTAAGTGTCTCATGACCTGAAAATTCACTTTAGGTCTATTTCTTACTGGAAAGCAGCACCTGAAAAGATTAGAGCCAAACCAATAGCATGAATGAAATTATTCCATCTTTCCTTTGTGCAGTATTACAACAGAAATGGAGAAAATTTACCTTGTTAAAATGTAAAAGGAATGGCTGGTACATATCATATACTCTATGTATTTCTTTTGTTGCACAACAAGAAGTCATTCCCACTTTATATGAGGGGATATATGGATGATGGTTGCAGCATATCTGTTGGTTATAATTCTTTCTATAATGGGATTTATTATGCCTTTCTTTAAAGAGATTAGAGAGAAGCAGAACTACAGTATTTTAAAACTGTATTTCAGGTATCATTGCTGTTGAATTTATTTTGCAAATGCAAGAAACATAAGCCCATCTTAAAATTTTGCCTCAAACATCACCGTTATAAAATCATGACTCACTGGCTATAGCAAGGTTTGCTTGAAATCTTATGGAAAAAAAATGTTAAATAAAGCAATAATAGCAATTACTTGCTCTTCTTAGTAACGTTGTGATTAGCCAATAACGTATTATAAGCCACTGGATGATGCCTTATTTTTCTACAAAGAAAATCTGATGATGGTGTGTGTTTCTGTGTGATGACTGTTGATGAGCTGTTCTTCAAGATGATGTGTTAATAAAATAATTTATGTGAGATGGTTATACTGCCAACCTCATCGTTGAGAATTTATGCCCAAATAATTCAACACTGTTAGGTGAAGAAGAAAAGATCAGTGTGCCCTATTTCCCTCCTTCTTTCTTCCTACTTATTCTAATAGACTTAGCAAGGCTTTGCTGTATTCCATAGTCTACATTAGATAATGACCATCTGCTCAAGCATAGATATGATGGGGGAGCACTTGGGAGCAAGTAACGTTTTTAAGGTCCTAAACTATTTAAAAGGAAAAAGAATGGGGAAAATAATTAGGAATTGACACATGATAGAAAATATCAGTTTAGTTTAAACCTTCTTGTGACACTTTGTCACTACCTTCTCAACTAACTATTCTCATACCTTATGGAGATGGCAAACAGATAATTATGGGCTGAAAATGAAACAGCAGCAAAGATTTCATTTTTTGTATCTGGTGAAGGAATCAGTATTTAGAGCCGTCTGTTGGATTTTAATTGGATTTTATTTGATTACAAAAGGAAATGTGCTGTTCCAAAACATAATCAGTAAGTTTTCTTCTCAGTTCAATTGTTTAATAGTTTCTGACTGCAAAGCCATGCACCATTAACTTGCGAGCAAATCTCATTGAATACAATATGTCGTGCATCAACAGATATGCATAAGATCTGAACCTGCTTAAGCTGAGAACAATCTGTCAGGTTTCTTTATGGTTATATTTAACATTCCATGCTATCAGAAACCAATATATTTTATATTTTGTTATCCTTCTTAGCCAGGATAATAACCTTATGACTGGTATTTCTTGAGCATTTACTTTTTTTGAAGGCAAGTACATTATTTAGATGTTGGAGTAATTCTAAGTTTAACAAAGCAGGCTATATTACCATTGTTTTTCTGTAATGGATAACTATGGAACTCAGTTTAAATTTAAAATTTTTCTGATTGATCAGAGACAAATAAAATAGCACCAAAATAATAAAAATATGCTTAGTCTCTTTGATGGGTCACAGATAATCATTAAGGTCCATCACATATGTTTGATTTTAATTAGTTAAGCTAATTGATTACACATTGAGAAACATTACAGTGTACATCAATAATGAGTAATTGGGTCTTTGCAATGTTTCAGTGTTATGATTCTATGTAAACTCATGTTAAATAGTTTCCTCTATTTTGGCTACTGTCCAGTGGTATGTGAACAACTTTGAGCACTGCAGGGCATTCTGGGAGTTGAAAAACATGAACTCAAAAAATGTCCAGGCTAAGGAAGACTGATTTATGGTAAACCTCTTTAATCCTATTGCAACTTGCTTCTGAACAAGGAGGCATAGCCTACAAATTTTACAAATGCCCATTTCTTTTTGACTTTCTCTTTTGTCTATGATAATAAAACTTTTAGTCTTTTCATTGTTACAAATTTATCTTCATTAGAACTTTTGAAAGTATATTTAATTAAAATTAATTGATTTCTGAATAGATGTCTTTAGGACTGATCTGTAAAATATTTAATGTATCATTTCATTAGTTTTTCCATGGATTATGTGCAGTGGAAAATGCCTTTTTTTTTTTCTCTTCATCTTAATGCATTTTGCAGAGAAAAAGTCCGGTAAGAAGTCTTCTTATTTCCTCTAATACTCTCATTTTATTAGATGTAAACAGTTTCTGTTTTGGAGGGGGTTTATGCGCATGCACATACAAACATACTTCGTAGCATTTGAGAAGGTAATGCTGTCAGGTTGTTCATCTTCATGTCATTTCACAAGAAGGAATAAACAAAGGACAGTTTTGGGAAGATAGGCTCTGAGAAGGATGCATAATTGTTCCCCTCATATTGGCAACAGCACTAATAGGAAATAAAAAATGGCTGCATGTTACTTGAACCATTTACTTTCCCTGAAGAAGCAGGAACCACGCTATTCATGTAGGCCACCTGGTTGCCTCTCAAGCTAATTGTCCTTCTAAAGTTGTTAGAATAAATAGGCAATCAGTGAGGATTTGAGATGTAAAACTCAAAGGTAACAAAATTCATTCTGAACTTTTGAGCTACAGCTTGATAAAAGATTTGAAGATTAAATACCACTCAGTTTAACAAGGAAGCATCAAAGTAACATAACCTCTCAATGAGAATGGGATTTTAAAAATAGCAGAGATAAAAGATACTTTAGGGAATATTTAGCCTGCAAATTTTGAGCCAAATAGGTTCAAAGTTTGACACAATAAAGCACTGAAATATTTTTATTAAATGTCTTTAAAGGCAGAAGAAGTGAGGACAGGAAATGAAAAGCAAAGCAGCTTCAAAATTGCCCAGCAGAGAATCTATAGAGAATTTACATTGAATTCACACAGCAAGTGTCCTATTCCAAATTAATTTTGTTACTAAAGATTGACAAGTTTACTATTCTCATAAACACATATTCTTCTAGACTAGGAGATATATTAGCCTGGATCAGTGGCAAAATTAGATCTTTCCAGTTATAAGTTATTAGATATTGCTTATGCGACAACATTTAAAAGATATGAGAGTTTTGTTTTTGACTCTCTTGTACATAACATATATTATGTAAAGAATAGTTTGTATTATATGAAATAGTCTAAAAGCAAAGCATACTGTCTCAAATCACATAAAGTGAAGAGAAAAGAAATCACAGATTCTCACTATTTTGGGAGAATTGGGGTCTCAATGAGCTGACAAATTGCAGATCGGACACAAAGACTAACAAAAACTTAACTACAGATATGATAAATAGAATGAGACAAAAGTAAACATAAGGTAAAAGTTATGGGGAGAAATAGTAGGGATATATGAATATTGGCAATATCCAAAGTGTGCTCTGCATTTTTCAGAAAAAAAGAAAAAGAAAAGGTAGAAGAATATTTAACTCCATAATATGACCCTTTTTCAAAACAAGGAATAATTGCCAATTTTTAAAAATATAAGAAGCTGACAATATATACCAGACATTTTTAAGACAATGGTTTTGAATTTCCAAATAAGTACTGGAAGTAATTGAAAATATGAAAAGGCCAGTCTCCCCAACTGCCCAAAATATATAAAGAAAGAGGACATGGTTTTGATTAATTTAAAATCTTAATTAATTTTTGATCTATGGCAATCTTTCAACAATTAATAAAAATGTTGGATAAAATAAGCAAATGTGAATTTTCTGTTTATGTTTTTCCTGCAATATCTTCATAGTATAGGTTCATTTTTAAAATCAAGTTTATACAGGACCAAGACCTTAAGTAGATTTGGGAAGAGAGCTATTTGATGAAAAATAGTGTTGAAATTAATATTTTATGAAGCTAGATGATCTCCTACCATCCAAAGACATTTTTACTACTGATCTTTCACTCTCTGACTAGGTATCTGTTCTCTCTTCCTTTTTGCTGATCACAGAGACGCAGCCCGGTAGGTCATGAATTCATGTTGAAACAGTTGCGTAAATGACTGGGTTATTTTAAATTTATTTGGGGAATATGCCTCACATATCTTGCAGAGAGTGTTTGGGAGATAACAATTCTTGCCAAGCTTCATAAGTATCATATTGATTAAGAAATATTTCCCATTTTATTATCTTTTAAAATCTTCCCTACTGAACTCTTGATCATTCAGTTTTTCTTGGTCTTCCCTTTTCCTTGGATGTGATATGATGGCCTCATTTTCTGGTGGTAAAATATGTCATGGAATATGATTTGAAAAGAAAAGATCTGCCTTGAAAAATACATGCAGAAATTGACAGAATAACCATTCTGGATCCAGTCATCTGTCACTCTCTATTTTGATATATAAAGTATAAGGAGCTATCAGAAAAACATATAAGAACACTTACATACACAGATATGTCCTATTTATGTTTCATACTTGAGTATTCTATTTTCAGTTTCTATGGGTTTTTTTTTCATCTCCTTCAATACCGCAGTCTAGATTTCCAAATTAAAAAAATTAGAAAAAAACCAATGTACAAGCAAATGAGATTTTATGAATGTATAATCCAGCTCTGGGGCTATAAACATGTTGTCTAGGACTTTTTGGCAAATTGAGTACGTGTGAAATATTTGTGTAAATACATTTGTAGCTATTACCTTCAACTCTATTCAAAAGATTTTTGAATAGTTTGCATGTTTATGTAAATATGAGTGAATGAATAAACTGGCAAAGGAACCCACAAAGTGTACTCTATAAACCCAATTTAGTGTATGATTTGTTTTACAAATATTATTTTCGATGGCTTTTCAGCATTTCAAAACAGAGCGATGTTCCCTTTATGTAAATATAATCCTTTAATTCTAAACTGTAGTTTTCTGTATTTAATTTTAGGGTACAGTTAAGAGGAACCTATCTAGTAAGTATCATTTAAAAACACATTAGACTTTAACCGGTGAATATCCATAGATGGAGTAGATTTCTTTCATATTTTTCATATTCTAAAAGAGCAGCAGCAGCTAATTAACAAGAAATATCGTATTCAGAACATTAGTGAAATAGACCTCAAAACAGATTGAGAATACATCTGCATACTGGTATGAAATTCTGTACAAATACATAAGCATAATTAATAGATGCGTTCTAAATTAAAGTGCACATGCAGATTTTGCAGTTAGCTGACTGCACAGACCATATCAAAAGGCTGTAAAATATATATTTCTCTGGGCGTAAGTGAAATATCAATCTTAATTCATGGAATATTCTCATATATCTAATAAAAATTCATACTGAACATACTGTACATTTAATGAAAATATTTTCATTGCATTATTTTTCATAAAAACACATATGTAGCCCTAAAATGTGAAATGTTACAGTATATGTAGAAAGACTGGGGGCATAATTAATCTCAGGTGAAACGATTTATGAAATCATGCATTATGTTAAGCAGCCATGGTTAGGTTTCTGCCTGATTTATTAAGTATTAGTATGCATTAACTAGAAAAATGTAGATTGCCTAATTATAATTTTAATATTATACAGTTGTTGGTCATTTGATCGTATTTTAAAGAGATATTAAATTACAGCATTTAGACTGATGTAATGCTTTACAGTGCTTTACAGCCCTCTCTAAGTAGTTTACAGTGTTAGCATACAACCCCAACAATTTGGGTCCTCATTTTACCTACCTTGGAAAGATTGAAGGCTGAGTCAATCTTGAGCCTGGTGAGATTCAATCTGCCAAATTGCAGTCAGCCAGCAGTCAGCAGAAGTAGCCTACAATATTATAATTTATTATTGTCTGAAGCTATCATAGCCTTTCACACTAGCAGTTTTACTAGTGTTCCTTCCAGTTGTCCAACCATGGAACCAATATACAGGCTTTCATTCAGTCCTAGCTTCTCATCCTTAGTCTTGTCTTATGAGCAAAGAAAGAAAACACCCTTTTCTTAAATTTAAAGTCAATGAAATGGTGTCAAAGTGTATGACAAAATAGGAAAAATGCTGAGAAGCCAGAAGGCAGGAAAGTTGAGAATTCCTGTCAAGAGCAAAATTCTCCCATAGCTATCATAGGAGGTAACATTGCAGGATTGTTCATGCAGTAATAACTCCTGAAAAATTAATTGCCTCGACTGCAAAAAGTTTACAAAAGTCACAATATTATGCAAAAGCGAACATACCTGTCATCTCAGTTCAGCACCAATGCCACATCTTCGTGGGCCCACTGTTCAGTTGATTTTATTTAATATTCAGCAGGCAGTTTGTCTACCCTATACTCCAAGAAAACAATTTTAAATGTATATTTTGTGCTAGGTGAAGAGATAGCAAGACCCCGGCGTTCAACACCTACTCCAGAGCTTCTCAGGTTAGTGTAAAACTATGTTCCCAAAGATGTGGAATTCTTATTCTCAAAATGGACATGTGTGGATGGACTATTATTTTAAGCTTGATTGCCTTAAAAGATTAGGTCTACATTTGTTTTCTATACAAATGTACAAAATTATAATCTCTTAGCTAACTTAAGACCAATTTCCAATCCTGTATGTTCTATATGCAAAATGGCATTTCCTTTTTACTTATACATTAAGTATGAAAAGAATACCGTAATGTACTTTTTTATCTAACTTTTAGTGATCTGGAAGGAATTCCATTTGTATCAGACTGTGAATTTACACAGATATAGCTTGGCTGGCAGATAATATTATCAAATCAAGACAGGCTATAAGCAGAAATGTGTAAACAAAATTTACAATATTTGAGCCAGTTCTTGCCATCTGTTTATTTTTACTCTATTATTTATACTCACAAGATTCCAAATACATAAATAAAATGGATTGAAAATATAATTGATTTATTATTTTACTGGATTACAGTATTCATTTTCTGAGTATTTATCCAAAAATGTGTAATGGATTAACTATTGATTAAGATAGAACAATTGGACAAAGATGAAACAAATTATACAAAAAGAACTATTAGAGTTTAGAAAAGGAAAGGTACTGTTGATCAACATTTCTTGATATCATTTGATTATTAAATATGTCCAGGAACAAACACAGGGAATGACTGGTACCAAATGGCTTTGAATCAAAACATTTAAAGAATAACCTTTTTTTCCCAATCTGCTATGGTAGACCAAATACATAATCTGATATCACAGATTTAAATATACACAGAGAGACACATTTGCACATGTGTGTACACAGACACAGACACACAAAACGCAATTACCCAATCTACACAATAGTTAGTGACCAGAACTAAGTATTGGGATTGTTAAAACATATCTTGGTGGTGGTTTTTTGTTTTGTTTTTTTAAAAATGCCTTAATCATTTCAGGTAGTAGACACATTACTTCATTCCATTTTAAGAAATAGTAATTGTGGGGATAATTTTCATTTCCTAAATTTGTCTATCATATGTGTAAATTTGTTCCAGATTCTTTAGACAGCATAAATTCATTGTAGAACACTACATGATTTTTTTAAATAATAAACCATTTCTCTTTTATAGAGAGAGAAATGGGTGGAAATTGAAATTTAATTGTCATTAGTACTGTTGAAATGTTATTTGTACTCAGGCATTTTTAAATATCAGGCAGATTTTAAAAATATCTTTTAGAGGTTTTAGGTTTTCTGATGTTTTCTTGCTATATTATACTGGGATATATTTTAGAGGATTTCTTGATTCTATTATGATATCATTCTGATATCCTTGAATGGAAAATGTAACAAAATGCCTTTTAACATATATAATCCTGACAGAAAAAGTTAAACAAAAAGATAGATGTAATATTATGCATATTGGGGTAAACTATTCATATATCTGATAACTTGTGGTCTGTTGACATTTAATTTCTCAATTTTTAAATAGCCAATTAAATCATATTGTCTGTTATGTTGTAAATAAACTGAATAGGGTCCTTAAAAAAAAGATAGGAACTTTCACTACTGGTTGTGAAATGCTGCTTCCAGTATTTAATTCCTGGCTTGTGAGTTTTTACTTACAAGAATAATATTTTATCTTTGGTTGGTATAGTGTATGTGTGTGTGCATGTTTAAAGAAACACAACAGTACTCTAAAGGCTCAAGATAAGATCTCCAGACCTGAGTGGGCACAATTTTCTAAATATTAAGGAAAGTTTTTCAGATGATTCTCTGCTTCTACTGCAGAACCCCATTTTATTTCAAAAACTGGTTCCTGAACTTCCCTTTACAGCTATAGAAAGTAACTTGAATAATATGAAATAAAATGCAGTAAACAGTACTCTTCTTCACGTAGCCCAATGGTAGGCAACTATGGCAACTTTATGGCTGGCTCAGGAATTCTTGGATTTTTGAAGTTGCCATATTTACCCACCCCTGAGATACCCACTGTTTATATTCTATTCCATTCTCCCAACACTTAGAATTTTCTATCACTGTGCAGGTTTAGTCTGTAGTGGCTCTTGGGAGGTTAATAAATTGGCCAGTTCATTTTTCACATGTCCAAATCCTGACAGTATTCAAATCTGGTAATATGGATAGTATTCTTTGATTTCTTAAGGATTAGCACTTCAGAACCTAATTTGTTTTTAATATGTAAGTTTTTATAGAATTGTTCATATCTAAACCTTTGAATGACTACATTGACAACTTTCTAGTATAACTTAAAACTGCATAGTTGCTGTGGTACATAATATTCCCTTACATAGATATGGCAATGGTTATTAAGCAGATCTATAGCAAGCAATGTCAAGAGATAACTCAATTCCTGTGTAAATATATGAAATGACATTTAAAAGTTTGACACTTATTTTTATGGAAAATATATATTTTTTAAATCTAACCTGTTTGTCACATCTGCTGATATCAAGTACCTAATTTTTCTGTAGCAAAAGAACTTCAGAAGATGCTGCTGTCCTAGCACCATTATTTGGTCCACCCCTAGAATCTGCATTTGAAGAAGACAAATTGGAAGGTAAATTATTAAATTGTATTTATTTATTAGATCCATAGCTTGCCTTTCTCCCGGGGGCTCAGGTGGGAATATCTAGCTTTTTCTCTCTATTTGAGTCTGTTCCTATATAGCCCTTGTGTTATTTTGGATTGAAAAATGTGATTGTCTGGAAGTTACCCAATTAACTTCTATGATTGGATCTTGGATCTTACCTGTTCCAGTTCAATACCAAAGCCATATGATTACTCCATGTAGATTTTGCATCAGGCTGCTTTATCTGAAAAAATCATTAGATTCATTGTTTGATTAATTCTGTCCATTTCATCAGAGCATGTTGCTTTATTCAGAATAACAAAAGTAGTTTTATCCCAGGCTCTGCCTCTTTTGTATCTGCATACCTCTTGGTGCAGGTAAGGAAAGGGTGGGGTGTGTATTCCAATCCTGCTTTCATTATGCTGTCCCCTGCTCTCCTAGCAGATGCAGCTGACTGTTTCTTTCTTGTTGTGAGTGTACCCATGCTCCCCTGGGTTGCTGAATTGCTAATCTAAGAAAAACATGGTATCAAATCTATGTTAAGCTTCCTTTTTTTTTGCTCCTGTCTGAATCATTTTTAACAAGCATTTTGATTTTTTTTAAAAAAGTGTGCCATATTAGATGAATGAGAAGTGTGAACTGGATATGTGCATCCGGAAGCCACTAGTTCCAATACTGTACTGCACATTTCATGGTGAAACAAACACTCAAAATACTACTTACAAGTATTTGGATTAATTTGTTTTTATTTGAATAACTGCTGTAATTCAGTCCTAAAGTTCAAAGTTAAACTGCTACTGGAAATAAAAAAAAGAATCAAGCTTTTGTGTTACTTCTAGATTAATATGTTGTTATATATCTTCTGTTTATATATAGCTTCAGGTCCCATAGATCAGTCTGAAGTTTGGGGTTCTGTGCAACCAGAGAACACAAGTGCAGAATCTCCAAATGCATCACGACCTTTCCCATCTGGAAGTAAGTTAGAACAATTCTTGGTAGAAAAAGTGGTTTAATGTATTCGGCCTGTGTAATTGAAAAATTATGAAATATAGAAAGAAGTAAATCTACTAGGAATCATGGCTCATTATATAGTGTGGAAACAGAGATATGAATTCAACTGTGCAATGAAAACTTACCTTTACTGCCTTTACTTACCTTTTTAATATATTAAAAAGAGAAATCAGAAAACAGAAGAGAAATTTATCATTAAAATTGCTATGTTTGTTTTAAAATGTGTAATGTTTAGCAACATCATTATGCATGCTTCCATATTAAGTGTGTATTTCTGATGGTAGAGATACTCTGCATAAAAATTATGGGATGTTCTTTGAAGGTCAGAAGCTAACAACTGGTGTTCCTGGTGTTCCAAGTGGAAATATATTCTACTTGTACAATGAACTCTGAATTGTAGCTACATCTACGTGAGACCGAGTTGTCAATTCTTTGTGATTGAGCTTTGTCTATCCTTGCCTTTGAAATGTTTCTTTTATGTTACAGCACCTCCACCGCTTCCACCCAAAAACATTCCTGCTACACCTCCCCATGCTGGTTCCCCTTTAACAATTGGAGTAGGTAAGAATATTTGACACAAGTAGTCAGGTCTAATACTTGTATAGTTCGCTGCATAATAATGATGACCTAGTTTAGTATATATTATGAAACATTAATATGAACAATCGTAATTTCTTAATATGCGTATCCTGTGTGTGTTTAATATTTTGTTCACAAAATATTTTCAGCAGTTTCTCTTTTATATCAAAAAATCACTGATGAAGCTTTACACATTATTTTCTAAACCCTTGAAATTTTGAAATGCTTCTGTTACCTGTGCTATATTAAGTACGCAAATTTGAATGTCTTTTGGAATTTTATTAGTAAGCTTTTATTTACATGACTCAATTTTGTATAAGAAAAGAAGTTGGGAAGCTTAAATATGTTTGTCTTGAATCTCAATGCATTTAGGGTTTTCTTCTCAATCAACAAGTGGTTCTGTTATATAAGGAAAACTGCCATGCATACAAACTCAATTTTTAAAATATTTCTTTACAAACGTACATAACATTTTGGATCAGAATTTTTTCTCTTTTTATCAATATTTCCTTTATATATACATGGCCTATGGTAGATGGTTACCTGAGGTAGACTATGAATATACTAAAATATATAATGATTATATTTCTCAAACATAGTCTTCTCCAATCTGGAATATAGCAATTGGGAGGTGGGAAGAATTGAATTAAAAATTAATATAATTTTGCTTTCCTAAAGAAATTGGGTGTTTTGGTTTTATATATATTTATTCATAGTTACAGAATAATTATTACAGAAATTTTATTCCAACAATGAACTTATTAGCTGTGATCCAGAGTTCTGTACATATGGAATAGTCTTCTTTTCTATGAAAAGAAAATAGTTTTACATTGTTTTCTATTTTGTATGCAGATTTGGAAAATTGCAGCCATTTCAGATAAAATGGAGGCCGGGGATGTATCTCTTGTTGTCACTGGGAATTAAATTTGCTTAATTTTTATTGGATGGTGACTAATCACAGATATTAAGACACATACTGAACTTTAAACATTTTCTTTCACAGAAGGAAAAGAATTTAGAAACTGTTTATTTGATTTCAGGTTATCCCAAACATTGAAATTTAGTAATGCAACAATTATTTGAATATAGCAACCATTAATTAATTTTTCATTAAGAATCTTTTCTTGTCCCTTAACACATCTGTGGTCAAATGTTCTGCTACATTTACTAAAATTTATTTTGGCAATAATGATGATTCAGCTCAAGCATAGAAATGTATTACGAATTATATTCTTTTTGATTTGCTAAAATAATGTTACATTGCATATCACATAATCCAATGCATTATGCAATATACGTGTTCATACGCGCACATACATCACCTTGTTTAAATTTTGTATTGTTTTGCCATTTCTCTTCTAATTTCTAGTATAAAGTCACATTGTCAATTGTGTTGCCTAGGTAGTTTTCTCTATCAATATAGAACGTATGATATTTGATTTTGAAAGAAGAATGTAATTTACATGGAATGTGCTTCAAAGTTATATGGATACTTGCACACAACGATGTTCTCCAAAGCACCTTTTATAAAAATGTGTTATCAAAATGTCTTTGTGCTAGAATGTAGCTTGACTTTTAAAAGCCCCATACATACATAGAGCAATAATACAACTTAACTGTACCAGTTGATGTTAAAGTTTGAAATCAACTACTTTGACCACAGGAAATGACCAGACAGCAACAGAGGTCAAAAGTGACAAACAACCATCAATCAATGACTTGGACAACATTTTTGGCCCAGTATTATCCCCCAAATCTGTTGCTGATAACGCAGAGGATAAATGGATCAGTTTTTCTGATCAGTCCCTGGAAAATGTAACTTCAGAGGTGACTTCAAGGGAAAAAGTGGTGTCCCCACCTGTGGCATCTGAAATCCCAGAAGAGCCTCCAGAGGCTGAAGTCTCTCGCAATGTTCCTTCTCCACTCAATTTAGAAGAGGTTCAGAAGAAAGTTTCAGAGCAGACCCACGTTAAAGATGATAACTTAGCACCAGCAGCATCTCCTAAAGATTTTGGGGTGGGACAGAGAGCAACACCACCTCCCCCTCCACCTCCTACCTACAGGACAGTGGTGTCATCACCCGGACCCAGCCCTGGCGGTGGCCCAGGAAGCACCAGTGGTATGTCTAAACAGCTTTGAGTGTGCTTCAGTGTGGCCTTGAATGCTGCCGTGTGAAACAACAAGCCTTTTTAGCTGTTAGTTTTTTTGTTTTTGTTTTTGGCTTTTAGCATCAATCATTCCCTTTTGTTTGATTGTACTGTGCCCAGTGGCCTTTTTTTTTTCTTTAATTCCGTGCTCTTGTGACCCAACTCAACTGTGAATCCTTGATAGTAAATTTTATTTTCCTACCATTGCTGAATGTCTAATTGTTGATGGGAGAGCTTTATGTCTTAAGCACCAGCTAAAGGTAGAAATGTGATATCGTTGATCAAGATTGCTCTAAATTTATTAAAGCTCTGAATCAAGAAATAAAGTATTTTATTTTACTTCACTTGGTGATTTTCCTGAGGAGGAAAGCATAAAAAAGAATTCAAATTTTGCCAGGTTACCACGGTTCATATTTGACCTTTTTGCAGAAAAAAGAAGTCTTAATAGGACTTTCTCCTTTCGTTTATATAATTTAGGATCTCTATAATCAGTAGCCATGAAAACACAATTTTATAGCACTTAAACAGTAGCAGGAAAGATCACATCTGTCTAAGAAACACTTCCTGTGCTTTTTGTGGAAAGTATAAGCACATATTAACATATTAAGTCTTAAATGAAGGATTTTTCTCCCTCTCTCAGGGCCTGTATCCACTGTATTGATTTTTGTCCCATTATAGAATGACCTGCAAATGGTACAGAAAATATTGATGACATAGATTGGTGGAATTCCCTGGCTTATTTCTCCCAACAAATATCATCAACCAAACTGGGATGGGGATCTGGGAGAATGCAAATTTTAATTTGCAATCAAAAGGAGCCTCTCAATTAGCTTATATTCCGCTGATAAGCTCTTTTTTTAAAAGATAGATGTAATGCTATTCAAGAATAGTGCTATATCCTCATGAGAATCAGCCCAGACATCAGCTAACAGGTATGATAAGAGTTATACTGTTAATTAGCAGAGAAAGAGTCAATTTTGTCTTTCTTGCTTCACTAACCTCTAGATGTGATATTGGGGGGAAATTGACATGTCCATACAGTCATTAGGAGATGAACTCAATTTAAGAGAGATAATAATTTAATCTTAATAAAGTAATCCCAATATAGTAACCCCAATAGGAAATTATATATAGTGCTATTTCATTGGAAATACAAGTGTGGGTATAGCATATGATTGTAGTAGCCCAAGAACCAAAGATGGGTAGCATGAAAAATTATTTTAGTCCCCAGGAAATCCATTCATCTACTTCTGAAGCTGTTGTTGTGTACCATGAACTTCAAGGTGCTCTAGAATGACATCAAGGCAAACTCCTATCCTTTGTGATGACAAGAAAATATATGTGGCTATTCTTAGACTAATAGGAACTCTGATGGAAATTTAGCAGGACAGAAAAGTATTTAAATCTCAGATCAATAATCAACACTTCAGGGGAACAACACTTTCCCTGCAAATACTTTTAAAATTTTGTTATGTTTGAGTAGTTTAGAAAATAAAAATGGAGGGATGAGAATGAAACATACACCCCATTATTTCTACAAACAACAAGTTAAACTCATCTCCCTTTGTAACTAAAAACAATTGTCTAGAGTCTGAAAAAGAACTGTAGCTTCTTCTTATATGGGAATAATTTCTTCAGTATGTCCAGTAAGTAACTTGCTTTGGGCAACATATGCCTTGTACTTTTTTCTCCGGCTCCCAATTCAATTTTGGAAGGAAATGAAAACTATCTACTGCTAATTACAAATAGGAAATCAACGATCTGTTCCTCTAAGATGAGACTGAAGAATTCTTTCTTGTCTTTGATAACCTCTCCCTGTTGATATTTACATAACTCCTATTTTCAAAGAAAATGTATTTTGTGGCAAGAGTGAATTCTGAGAGAAAGGAACAAAAAGATATATCCAAACGCTATTTTGAGGCAACCTCCCCACACACACACATTCTAAGGGGTCTAAGAACTTATCCTTCCATGCTGTATTTTTTCCTTAATAGCAAATTTCATTATTACTACCTTTAGGAAACAGAATAAATATTATCATTAGCCTTTAAAATTATATGTACCTGATATGTACCAGATATGATTAATAGAATAGCTTAAAGCTTGCATATATATATTCACAGATGGATGATGAAGTGAATAACTGCTGGTCTAGGTACAAACAATTTTATATGGTTTATCATTGAAATAAAAAAAAATCAGTTTTGCAAGTTTAAAATGCCCTAGGTGGAAGAAATCTTTTTAAAATTTGAATTATTTTCCAAAAAAAATCAGAAACCAACCTTTCATAGTTAATTTTATTCGGGGAGAAACACTTCTCTTATTTTTTGAAGTGTTTCATTTTCCTGAAGTTTGATAGTTGATGATTAATATGTTCCCTCTGAAAAAGACAAGTTGGGCCTGGAATTGTATCTGCAATATAATTGCAACATCATCTGTTTACAGCAATCTAGGATTCATATTTTTTATTGAGAGCAAGTGCAAAAATAGATGGTGTATTATCTGTTTCACTTATTATTGTCATGAGTGAGTGGAACTGGAAGTTAATCAGGCTTATAGCATCTCTTCCACTTCTATATATCAATATGTACAGTTAAGGAAGATAGGGGTCTATAGACACATATGCTTTCCTATCTCAAAGTCCCTTCCTGTGTAACTATAATCTATTACTACATTACTACAATATATTTTGGGGTTGTTGTATTTTTGTTTGTTTTGGCACTTTCAAGGACACAGTTGATGGCTATTGAGGAAGTTTCTTCTTGTGTACTTACCACAACAGATGTCCATGAAGTTTTATGTTTGGATTTAAAAAGAGTGTGTATGTGTGAACAGCCAATCTAGCCCTTTGAAATGTCAGTTACTGCCAAAATTATTATAATGATACAAAATGGTTTCAAAATAAAACATTTTTGTTGTCAGTCAAATCAGCTTCAACATAAACACTGACTTGACAATTCTATGAGGTGTCCACTTCTTGTTCTGCTTTTGAGACAGAACTATCCAGTAATTTCTGCACTGTTACATTTTAGAAAATTGCTAAGGTATCTGAAGCTTCTGTAGAAACATTTTCAATTCTATGTATCATCCCTTAAATATAAAGCTTCTTTGCTGATTCCAGAAGATAGATGTATTCTTCCAAGGGTAAAGTGCCACCAGTTTCATAGCATAGATTCATCACAAGGGTGCTTTTTCAAAAGAGAAATGGACTCTTTTTTCCTTGAAGATGTTTCACTTCTCATCCAAGAAGCGTCTTCATTTCTGACTGAAGAAGTTTCTTGGTTGAGAAGTGAAACATCTTCAAGGAAAAACAAAGTCCAGCTGCCTTTTGAAAAAGCACCTTTGGGACAACTATGACCTGGATGATTGAGAATCTCCATGGAAATAGTTTCATCAGTATACATTCCCTCTTTATTTCATTTGTCACTAATAGAGAAATCTGAACTATACAGCAATACACAATGAATATTTGTGCAATCATTTTTCAGATTTTTTTTATGATATTGAAGGAAAGGAAAGGAAAAAAGGCAGGGCAGGGCAGGAAAAGGGCAGAGCAGGAGAAAGGAAAGGAAAATTAGTTTCAGAGGAAAAAATGTACTACTCCAGCAGCATGGGGTCACTAAAAACCCTAAATTATCAACTTTTTCCAAAGTCTCATCTCACGTAAGCAAATTATTCAGAGCATGCTTAGCAAATGGAACATTATTAATGCAACAAATATTACATAATAATTTATGATGCTGTATTTTAAAGCTCCATCCATCCACCCTCTCCTCACAGCTGAGTGTTTTACTGACTGCATGAAGCATGTGATCAGTCAGTGCTTATAAGTTTCACTAATACTGACATGATAGATCAACCCTCCTGGCAAGAATGTCTTGTTTGACACTAAAGGGTTCAGTTTAAGGCTTAGGAAAACACCACAAAAACCTGATTGGTTGAATATAAGCCTCCTTTCTTTATTCCCTTGAAATAAAACTTTGTCATTTGATAGGGCTGTGCCAAATATTTAAAATGGGATCTTTGTAAAGTATTGCAATATTTGGCTTACACAAGCCAAATATTCATCCTCAAAGCATCCAAGTCACGTCTTCCTAAAGGCTTTCTTAGCTGCTTGTGGATTTGTTTGCAGGCACAATTTTTCTATACCGACTGTCCCCAAAGTGGCATTGTATGCACACATACAATACATGCAGACAATCAGGCAAATCCTTCCAGCATTTACATCTGGTGGATATGGCTGGTTTTTTAAAGGAGAGGCACTTCATCCACACTACATGTTTCACAAAACATCCCTTCCAAATGCTTTGTGCAGCCCTGTGTACATGCTTAGTATCTTGGGAGAAAGAAGATGTACTCTTCATTGGAACAGATAATACAATAAGTATGTATTCTTATAAGTTTTATGGGCTATTTTTATATTTTCTCTTTGGCAGCATGAGAGCAACTGCAGCATGCTTTCTTCCTGTGATATACACTAATCACTGTTGTATGCTCAAGGTGCATACAAGGAGTCCTTGCTGTGAATTCCTTCCATGTTGCAACTGTTCTAGTTTCCAGGAAGAATACCGATAGAGTAGAAAGAAGACACAGCTTGAATTCTTCCAATTAAAACAAACTTTTGATGTTACCAAACATAAGTAATAGCTTAGATGTCATTGGAAGTCATTTTGGGATATGACATTGGAGTTCTGTTAGGGTAATTTTTAAAGATGCCTCATATTCTTAAGTTTCAAAAAAGACATTCTAGTCTGTTGGCAAAAAACAAAACAAAAACAAAAACAATTTGTATGGTAGTTGGATTTATATTGGCATGTGACTTAAATCAGTTTCAGTATTATTCTTTTATAATGAATGATTATACTTAAATGAAACAGCTTGTTTAACAACTGTCAGTGGAAATTTAGAAAACATGTTCAACAACTTGGGAAAAATTACCTTGAAAGAGTAAGAAATATACCAATTTCTTAAATTCTGAACATGCATTTTTCTCCAGAGTAATATCAGATTTTCACTAATTTTCATGAATCGTCCTTGGTTGTTATCTGATTTGCCAGCTTTTTATTCTTCTTTTTTACTGTGATTTACCACTCACGAAGGTTGCAAATCCATCTACATGGGAGTATATTCAATTGAACCCAGTTAGACTTATTTCTAAATAAATATGTGTAGGTTTTGCAGTGTACCTATTTTTAATCATTATTAATTGATGGCAGCTTCCCCGATTAAATTTTTGGAACAATAACATACTGTCCATTTATTTACAAGTTAATATTAAAGAAAGAAGAAAATAACCTAAAATGGTGCAGTTCAACCAATGTTCTTTTTGAATTAAACTTTGTAAGGTTTATGCACAAGCAAATATATAAACAAAGCATATATGTTGTTGTTACGTATATATAAAAACTGCACTGGCACAAAAGCAGAGAAATAAGCTGTTCTACTTCATGGTGACTTATCTGGTTAGCAACTGTCTATTTCATCTAGCTTGAGTCCACGTATATGAATGTATATGTTTACTCAGTAACCCCTGACCCAAATCCCAAGCTGGTTTTGCAGTTGTTTAGCTTGATTGACGCTCCACACTGTGGGATATATACTTTAAAGGTATGAGGGAGCTGTAATAAGAGCAGCTTAACCCCATACTGATAGTGTACATTTCTTTCAGGGTCATCATCACCTGCTCGCCCTGCGACCCCATTGACATCTTGCAGCAGCCCTACCCCACCACCACCACCACCTAGACCCCCATCTCGTCCAAAGTTACCTCCGGGAAAGCCAGGTGTTGATGTGGTATGTTTTAGATTTTTTTTTTTTTACAAATGGCTAACTACACTGAGTTAGGATGTCTCTTGCCTACTATGGAGATGCTAAATACTATAGATACGAACAAATGTTATAGTAACCACTGTGGGCTGGCTTTGTTGTGAGTATAAGGAATACAAATCTAATAATTAAGTAAATGAATAAAAGATGTAGCAAATTATGTTTGTTAGGTCTCTAGCTAAATTCTTGCTTTCATTTAAAAATATCCAGAAGAGTGTTATAATTTAACATTAGATTTTTAAAATGAATTAAATTTAAAATTGTGGGGTAGTTTCGTTGGCTTTCATGAAGCTTTTTTTTTTTAGAATTATTACTTTAGCAAGAATATCAAGCTTTTCTCATGCAAAGAAATGATAATAATTTATAGTTTTCTATCATTTCAAATCAATCACCATTGCTATTATTTGCAACTATTTCTTGATGAGGTAATCTCATATTTATTAAAAAGATAGGATTGGAGAAGACTTATACTTAATAGACTGAAAGATGAAGCCGGAATGTGACTTTTGCTAAAATTCCTTTACCTGTTTTTCATGAGTCCAGCCTTACCCAAGAAGGAGGAATAGGAAAGAATTACTGGATAGCTGCTACAGAGAAGTCTAGCCAAATAGCAATTCTGATACAAAGAATTCAGAATTCAGTATACTATAAGATTGCACTACTCTTGCTTCACCAAGAGACACCAAAAATGAGACCACTCAACTAACAAGAGCATCATTAGTTTTGGGCATTGAGCTAGAAGATCAAGAGAAAGGTCTATATTTGCACCCTATACCACGAGGAGGGTTTATTATAATTAATATACACCTTTCAAATAGTACATGCCCTTGAAATTAGAACTGATAGGCATCTGAAGGCATTAATGCTTTGTCCATTATAGTTAAAACTGGAACGGTTTCTTATTATAACCTTATTTTCAAGGGCCCATAAGTGTATTACTTTTATCTGCTGGAATTCTCAATTTCTTGCCTTGCCTTTTGAGACCAGTTTCCTGAGATGGAACTCTAGACTTGAACATAGATTGAGTTAAACTGTCAGCCTTCCTTACCAATTAATTAAAAACACCTAGTTAATTTACAACTTGTTGAGAGGCAGTAGGTCAGGACACTGTGCTCCTTTTATAAACTGTTTTCTGAGAGCATGGGTTGAAGTTTGTGGGTGGCAAAAGGAAATCAGTTAAATTTAGTCCCAAGCTCCTATCAGATGAATCCTTATTACAATATTTCCATGTTCTGAAAGGCAAGTCTGAATTCAGAACCTATAGATTAGGTTGGAATATGTAACTTTTGTCAACTATTGACCGTTCAAATGTGATAAGATCATACATGGTTTGGGGGTTGTTTTGGGGATTTTAAAGAATGAATGGATGGTTTTGCCCCTTCAGAAAGGAAAGATTCCATTCTGAATCTTCAAAACAAAATTCAAAAGTGGCCCATGTCTTTGGCTTCACACTCTTCTTGGATGAAGAGAGGAAGCTGGCAGACAAAAGATTACATTAATTAAAGATGAAACTTGCAATCAATTGTAGTCAGGAAATAGTTGCTGAGAAATCAGAGTAAGCATCTACTTATATTTCTGGGTTAATCCTCACTTTACCCCCAAATCTAAGACTATGTAGAGTTATGAATATTTTTGAGTACTGAATGGGTTCATTAAGTGATTATTGTGTGTATTTTTAATGTTCTTTGTGTTTATCTATAGTCCAGACCTTTCAGCCCTCCAATTCATTCATCTAGTCCTCCTCCAATAGCACCTTTAGCTCGTGCCGAAAGCACCTCTTCTATTTCATCTACCAATTCCTTGAGTGCAGCTACTACTCCTACAATTGGTAACAACTTTTTTCTTTTCTTTGGAACAATAGTTTCTGTTAGCAAAATGGCTTAAATCCTTTGGTTTTTAAAATTTTTTATTTCGGTTATGTTTTCTTTGTTTTGTCATCATCATGTTACATGGAAACAGAAAAAAAAAACAGGAAAAATCATAACAGAGAATTGTAGCTGTGATTCTCTTTAGACCACTACATTTTTTACATATCTTTATATATATGTAATAATAGGATCTTATGTCTTAGGGGTCCACAATCCCCAGGCTGTGGGCCAGTGACTGTCCGCAGCCTGTTAGGAAACAGGCCGCACAAGTGTTTGGAGTAAGTGAGTGAAGTTTCATCTGCATATGTGCAGGATCTAGGTTGCGCATGAAATCAACCCTCCCCCTGTTTCAAAGAAGATAATTTTTCTTCTGAAACTGTTCCTGGCCACCAGAAAGTTTGGGGGGCATTGTTATAGATTATAAATAGGATTATACAGATTATATATGGTAGTAGGATCTAAAGGGGAACACATTCATATTCTGCATACACATTCATTTTTCCCCTAAGTTATACAGACAGAACACACTCCTAACCAACATACATTGGTACAGAAAATCACAACTTTAACTATGTCCTTTTTCCAAGCAGGATTCAGAGCAAGAAAGGAATAGTTCTCATGCAATGTCAGATTTTTACATTTAAAAAGTTCTTAGTTAAAACCAACATAGTTTTAAACTACTGCTTTGTGCTAAATTAAATTGAATTATGTGCTTTCTGATAAGTTATTCAGAAAATGTATATGTATAGAATTGTCATGTATATCCCTTGATATCTTGACAATTTAATAGAGACTGAGGAAAGAAAGAAAGGGAAGCTAGCTTTGTAACACCCAAGTATTTTGATTTTACATTTCAAAAGACATAGAAGCTGTGTCTAACCTTTGGTGGCATAGTGGTTAAAATGCAGTATTGCAAACAAACTCTCCCCACAGCCTGGAGTTCGATCCTGACCGGGCTGAAGGTTGACTCAGCCTTCCATCCTTCGGAGGTCAGTAAAATGAGGACCCAGATTATTGGGAACAATGTGCTGACATTGTAAACTGCCCAGAGTGTGCTGTAAAGCACTGTGAAGCGATATATAAGTCTAAGTGATATTACTATTATAAGTTCCTCTCTGCTACAGGTCTATGGCATTGGTAGAAAACTAATTGCATACCAGAACATGACCTTTCTAGTCAATATAGGAGGATAATGGTGCATTGATATGTTCACCACCTTGAGTTATTTGTAAAAAATAATACAGGTGGAATACAAATAAATAAAAATGATGGCCAGTATCCAAGGGCATCTTTCTTGTCCCTTAGTGTCCATCATCAAAGAAATCATCCCCCCTGAAAAACAAACCAAAAAAGGAGTCATCTGAAAGGTATTTGAATATAAGTAGCTCAGGTTGGTAGTTGGACTGTTGGTCTGAGCTCTGATTTTGGCAATTTGGTTGCAAACTTTTTGTCACCCTTCAAGGCGATTTCATCAATGCACTTTGAATTGTGCTTGTCTGTACACAATTCATACAAGCACAATTCAAAGTGCTCTGACAACATCGCCTCGAAGGGTGACGAAAAGTTTGCAACCAAATTGCCAAGATCAGATCTCAGACCAACAGCCCAGTCATCTTGTCGTCATGCTGGCACATACCTTGGCAGACTATTGCTGGAATTTGATGTTTTTAATCATGTCCTTCAACTCTGTGATGTTATTGGGAATGTAGAAATTGGAAGGTGGGGAATTGTCAGGCATTTCCTCTTATGGCTATATAAGGCATCCAGTTAAAGACAAAATGTGGATTGCCACTATTTGCTACCTGCAGAGAGAAACTTCTCATTTTTGTAGATCATGACCACAGGTGGAGGATGCCCACTCTAAGTAAAACAGCAATTCATCAGCAGTGAGCTTGTTTGTTTGGGAAAGACTACAAGGTAGATAGCTTGGTGCCTTCTAGATATTTTTTTTAAAGTTTATTTCCTCTGTCTTGATTACTGTAGTTTTAATAGCAAAGGACTATAGTACTTAGAATTGAAAACATCTAGAATGGTTCAGGCTTATACTTGCTCAAGAATCTATAAAGAACAGCAGTCTGACCATTTGATATTTGCACGAATCACTGCTAAATTAAATATACTTATGCTAAACACATGCAAGATTCTGAAAATGCGATTGTGAGTAGAAAAAGCAGGAACTAGCTACATATTGACATTGTCAAAATAATGTTGTGAACAAGATGTTTTATTAAAATTTAACTGCAGAAAATGAATAACAATAAAAATTTAAAAGCACCTAAAATGTTTGATATGAACTTTTCTAAGAATTTGAAATGTGAAATATTATTCTTCCCTAAAGAAACTGCATTGTTAGAATGATGAATTTTCTGTTTATCCTTTCCTTTTGTTTTATTGTTTCTTTAGTCTTTCTTGTTCATTCTCATCTTCTTGAACCATATATTGTGATTCCCACTGCCATCCTCAGTTTCAATTGCATAACTTCATTTTTTTTTAAATTATTTTATCAGATATAGTTCATTCTGCTTCAGATTTCAGATTTGCTCTTTCATCTGCTTCTTACTTCATCAACATTTTTGCCCTTTTATGGATTAGTTTTATGACATTTAATTATCATTTATTGCTAGGGTACATCCTTTCTTTGCTGTTACTTTACATAGTTGGTCCCATTCTACTATTCATCTAAATTCTGCTTTATCACCATTTCTGTAGTGCCCCTCTCATGTCAATTTTCTCTCAATCTTTTCTTGTCTATGTGGACAGAAAAGGCATCTTGACTACCTAATTATTCTGATTGAAGTCACAATGGCAACAGTTTGAATATTCTTTCAAAATAAATCAAAGTTGACAATATGAGAAATCAGAATCAACTGATATGATTGTATTTTTCTTAAGACGCTGGACACTGATTTCTTACCTTTTACAGAAAGTTTTCCATCTTTTAACTCTTATTTTATTGTAATTGCTTTTGTTATTAGGAAATGAATTTACTTTTGGCTAGAACATGCATTCAAATAATAACTTGTTAAACATTTAATCAAGTGCTTCAAAAACTTTGTTGCCTTTCTGAAAAAAAATAAATTCAATTTCATTGACTATTATGAATAATGTGAAATTGAGAAGGTCAGAGGCACTTTTCTGACTTCTTTGCAAATTCATTATTTATCTCTGTTTTTATTTGCTATTGGTCAATAAAATTGTGAATGTTTTATCTATCAGTGAAATGAATAGCAACTCACTTAATGCTATAATGTTGAAAAATTTGGTCTTTTAGTAGGCTCTGTCATCAGTGAGTCAAAAGTTTGTATTGTACGTGAAGCTGAGCATTCCATATATTAAGCTGAATTTGTTCAATACAGTGTTTAAGGAACATGGATCTAATCTTCAAACAGCGAGGGTATTTCAGAAATTACAGTTGCAAATCTTGCAGACTGATTTGTAAAAACTATAAAGATAAAACAAAAGCATGTTTAATTAATCATATATAATTTACTTTAGAGTAATTACTTTGTTTAGGAGAACTGCTCAGATATTTTCAATGAAACCTTCTATAGAAATTAAAATTAACAAAATATACCAGTTGTATTTAGAGTAGATTGATGGTCTTGGAGTTTTTGTTAAATATACAATGGGATATAGACAGGCTGTAGTACAAAATGATTATGAGAATTATGAAAGAAAAATGGCTAAGAAATCATATTGGCTCTTATTTTGTCATCGTTATATTTAATAATTACCTATATGTTACAAATAAATGGCTAAGCATTATTTATGCTTAGAATATTAAAATAACTCAATCTAGGTATACACACACACACACACACACACACACACACACACACACACACATATATATATATATATATATATATATATATATATATATACACAC